CAAGCAACGCCCAGGACTTGGTGCCTCTTGGATCAAAGAAGTGGGGATTAAGTTTGCTGATTTGGGCTTCTATGTTTCATTTGATGATGTTTAACGTTTGTTGTGGTGAGTTCTCTTCAATTGGGTCAATTGTCAGAGAAAGTGTGGGTCAATTCAATTCACTTGTTTGTTACTCAGGGATTTGGTGGAGAAGAAGAAGCCTACTGACATCCTCAAGTACGTTCTGTCGATTACGAGGCAAAAGGTGAAGGAGTAACTTACCTGCATTGCAGGATGTTCTGCTTTGATTGTTGCCAATGATGGCTTTCAGCTGGTTCATTACCAAGGTACCACCAGAACAAGGGCATCAAGTATGACAACGTCGGGTGGAACCAAAAAAAGTGACCAAACCGCAGTTTCTTGGCTTATCAAAGAAGTTTGCTGAATCACATTGGCTGGTTTGGATCAAGTGTGTTAATTGTGTTAATTGTGTCAGCCATGTGAAGTGTTGAAGTGCTGGCAATTGTCTGCTTTGGATGTAGTGCAGTGATTGTGTCAATTGGGTGGGTCTGCTTTGGTAATGATGTCAGGTTCCTATCATGCTTTGGAACACACAAGTGGTCCACTGGCCGGCACGAGTCGCAATCCTGGGGTATGGATCGGGCAATGCCAGACGTGGTTGGAAGGACAGAGCCTTGTGTCAAGATCATGATGGAAATTGACAATAATTTATGCACTTTTGCATAGTTCTCTAGCGGCTGTGTTTGATCTGTGTTTGATTTGATCAAGTTGCTTTGTGCATTTCATTGGTTGCAGGATCCACCACCTGAGGTGGTCAGGATTATCGAAAAGTTATGTGGTCACCTTCGTAATCCGATGAAGGAGGTGTGGGAGCACCGGCTTCCGTTGAAGCTTTCACGCCAGTGCCTTTGATGCATTAATTACGATCACAATCACAATGTTTGAATGCATTGATGATGATATCATCATTGTGGTTCGGGGTTGGATGCTCAGGAGCTTCGAGGAGCACGACAAGACCAAGCAGAAGATGAGCGGCCTGCACACGGAGGTGCAGGAGGAAGTGGCTTGGCATCAGAATGGCAAGCAGGTTGTCAATTGAGTCAATTGAGTCAAGCTGTCAAGTGGTAGTGGTGTTTGAATTAAATATTGTCAATTGAATCAATTGTTGTCAAATGGCATGCGCTGTCAATTGAGCCAGTTGTTATGGATCAATTGCTCCATGGGCCTTTGTCCATAGTCCTTGTAGCACTTCTCTTATTCAGGTCATCCGCCACAGCGAGTTCAAGTCGGTGGTCCTGGACATTTTGTCCCGGCCAGGGAACATCGTCCGGTTTCCTGTCTGCATTTGGCTAGTCTTGACCTATTATTCTTCTTGTGATGCTTGCAATTGTGTCATTTGAATGTGTTGGAGCAATTCACAGTTTTGATGTGAATTTCAGAAGAGCAATTTCCCTCAGTCAAAGCTTCAACGTTTACACATTCAGACTTGTCTTGCTGAGGCTGACTTGCAGTTGGGGCTGGCACCGGACACTTGGGACGGCCAGTGTCATCATCCGGATCTTGCAGATGGCAGGGTGCGAAGTGGTGCTCTACAGCGCAAAGCTGAGCATGAATCCGCAGCTGGATTCCTGTAACACCATTGCGTTTCTTCAGGGTTCGCCCAATGTGTGTCTTGCCTCAAATTGAGCTGAGCTGTTTGGATGCTTCACTTGGGGGGTTGTAGTGATAAACTTGTGGGATCGAAATGCGAAACAATTCAGTTCTCTTACATTCACAATAAGTTCTGTCTTCAAACATTAATGGTTTTTAACCATCAACATTTGCCCCAATTAAATTGCCTCAATTGATTCTTGTAATGTTTTCAATTGATTCAATTGCCTCAATTGACTCATTCAACGACTTGTTGGTCGCTCAGTGTTGCTAAGGAACCTGCGAACCCTGACTCAGAACCTTTTCGACGACTTGACAGGTGTGGCCTGGACCGAGGATGACTTCGAGCAGAGCCTGGACAGGGCCAGAAACCTGTGGAGGGAAGTTTGGCCAGAGGCTAGCATCAAATTTCTGCGTGGCAAATCCATACCGCCTGCTCCAGCAGGTCCACCTCCACCCAAGGCAATTGGGCCCATTGCCACAGCACCAATTGGGTCATTTCGGTCAATTGCGTCATCTTCTGCCAGTGGCAGCAAAGCCCCGGCTGCCAAGGCCATGCCTTCAAAACCTGACAGGCCAGCTCCCAAGCCACCAGGGAGGGAGGCAATGAAGGAGGAGCTGAAGGAGGAGCAGCCACAGGAGGAGCTGAAGGAGGAGCAGCCCAACGTCAAGAAAGAGGAGGTCACTCCGCCCCCAGGTCTTGGGCTTGTGGATGAGCTCCAAGCCATGACCCCAGCGCAGAAGAAGGCCAGGATACAATTGTTTCAATTGACAAAGCCTTGTCGTGGCCATATTGGATGACATGTTGCATGGTTCCAGTTGAGTAATACCATTGGTATTTAATTAAATCATGTTGTTTCCCTTTGTCGCTGATAGGTGAAGCTCAGCCAGCCCTATGTGCGGGAGATGATCCAGAAGCAGATTACCTTCTTGCAGAGCTTGCTTGACAGTGATATTGAAGGTGGTGATGGATGGGAGGAGGTGTTGTGCTATGGCTGCAGTCCAGCTGTTGGAAGAGGAGTGAATTCATTATATAATATTATTTATGACATTTGCATCATGTCATTCATTTCATGTGGTGTCATGCCATGCCTGCCTGTGATTCTGACCGAGGACTGAGGTCCTGACCGACTACAATATCAACCAGGGTGTGCGGACCATGCTCTCCAATGCCAAGATCTCCCGGAGCCACAAGATCAAGCTTATGTGTCTGGTCTGCATGTTGAGATATTTGATTCACAGCTTGGACAACAGGTTTGGAATTGCGTCAAGGCAAACAATGGTTTGAATTGTGTGAATTGGTTTCTGAAGTTCAGCTTTGTTGTTTGGAATTGTGTGTTTGTCAATGCCAAGGATCAACATGTTGTTTCGCTGGGGGGACAAGTTCGAGTCAAATGACTGGTTGCGCAACGCAATTCGCAACTTGGCTTGACATGTCATGAGTGAGCTTTCATGATAGTTGAAAAAACATTGATGTCATATTCGATATCCAAAATCATATCTTCAACTTGTCAAGAAGCGCTTGTACTCCAGGTCAAGAAGAGCTTGATGCCTGTTCATCTTGGCGGTGAAATGCATAATTAATGTTCTGGGCCAATTGAGCTCAATCATTTTGTGGCATTTGTGTCATTTGTATCAATTGTGTCATTTGTGTCATTGCAAAAAGCAGTGAATGGTTTTGACAGACAAAGAAATCAAGGTTTGGTGTTTGTTTCCAGTCTATGAGCCCATGCTGTCGTGTTTTATTTAAGCAAGAATGAAGCAATGACGTTTTTGCGCAGATCATTGCAAGTGGATGGTCCCTGTGAACAGCCATGACCTAGTGCTCATAAAGACCACAGCCATGCAAAAAGGAAGCTAAAAAAGGTGAATGCTAATCCCAGTGCAAGGTGATCATGTTGCAGAAGCAGGGTGAAACACTGTCATGGCAGCGGATGCTTCATGTTTATGTTGTTCAAAGTTGTTTGTTAGGCAGATCATTGATGAAGCTTGGTGGGATGGGCTCAGTTAACATAGGATGCACAAAGTGTGTAGTTCTCAAATCATAGAATTATCTCAGTGAGTCAATTGAGTCAATTGAGTCAATTTGTCATCCCAGAAAACTTCACTGCCAAGTTGTTTCAACTGATGCATTGCTTCATAGCCAGATTATGTGACATCCCCATGTGTGAGGCAGATCGAATGATTGGCCTTGGTGGCGTTCTTCGAACAGCAGGCATGGTCTTTGTCTCAAGCATCAATTTGCAGTACATGATTCAATTGTGTCAATTGGTCATTGTCAATCAATTGAGTTGCTTCAGCTGTTTCAGTTGGATTCAATATTCACCAATATACTCACACAATATACTTTCAGAATTTAAATTTAAATATGAAGACATAATGTCAAGTGCATGGATGTAAATATTCAAAACTATGAATACTTGTATGAACTTCTCAAAATTGCTCAAAATTGTTCTGAAAATACTTATACCTGCCAAAAGAAAAAATCTGCTCAAAATTGCTCAAAATTGCTTAAAAGTACTTATACCTGCCCAAAAAATCTGCTCAAAATTGCTCCAAATTGCTCAAACTTATTTAAAAGGACTTATATCTGCCCAAAAAAAATTGCTAAAAAATGTTCAAAATGGTTCAAAATTGCTCAAAATTGTTTAAAAATACTTATACCTGCCCATAAAAATCTGCTCAAAATTGCTCAAAATACCTGCCCACAAAATCAAAATTGCTCAAAATTGCTCAAAATACCTGCCCACAAAATCTGCTCAAAATTGCTCAAAATACTTGCCCACAAAATCTGCTCAAAATTGCTCAAAATTGCTCAAAATACCTGCCCACAAAATCTGCTCAAAATTGCTCAAAATACTTGCCCACAAAATCTGCTCAAAATTGCTCAAAATTGCTTAAAAAGTACTTATACCTACCCAAAAAATCTGCTCAAAATTGCTCAAAATTGCTTAAAAAGTACTTATACCTGCCCAAAAAATCTGCTCAAAATTGCTCAAAATGGCTCAAAATGGCTCAAAATTGCTCAAAAATGCTCAAAATGTCTCAAAATGTCTCAAAATGCCATTTTGAGAAATTTTGAGGTGATTTTGAGACATTTTGAGACATTTTGAGACATTTTGAGACATATTGAGACATATTAGATGATAGAATCAACACGATGCATGATAATACTGTAGTTAGATCAATAACGTTGTATGGTGTGCAAGTCATGATTAGGCGATAGAATCAAAACGATGCATGATAATAATGTAGTTAGATCAATAATGTTACAAACCATGCTGCGGCCTGTGAGTGAGTCAAGCAAGTGTAGCCATCACAATTGACACAATTGAGTTAATTGGATCATCATGCCAGCTGCCCCTGTGAATCGAGCTGCCAAGAGACAGCGCACTTTGCCCCAGATGATGGGACAAATGATGAATCCCATGATGATGAATCCCATGATGGGTGGAATGATGAATCCCATGATGGGAGGTGGCATGGCGCCTATGATGATGGCTGGCTGCAATGGAATGATGGGACCCATGAATGGAATGATGGGTGGAATGATGAACCCAGCAGCCATGCGTCGAATGATGGAAGATGTTGCGGCTGGGGAAGATGCTGAGGAAGAAGTCCATGATTATGATGATGTTGGTGCAGTCCAAGATGCTCCTCCTCCTCAGCCTGCTGCTGCTTCGGCCTCTGTGGTTGCGCAGCCTGTGGCTCCTGCTGTGCCTGTCCCTGCTCAGCCTGAGCACCAGCCGCCGCCTGTGCTCCCTTACAACAAGAGTGATGATGCTGCCATCACAAGGTCTGCAAGTATGATCAGAGGCCTGGGGTGGGACATGTATGTAACCGATGTTTTGTTGATATGATGATCCTATGTTATGTTGATATGATGATCCTATTTTTGTTTTAAGTTATGTTGATATGATGATCCTATTTTTGTTTTAAGTTATGTTGATATGATGATCCTATGTTTGTTTTAAGTTTTGTTGATATGATGATCCTATGTTATGTTGATATGATGATCCTATTTTTGTTTTAAGTTATGTTGATATGATGATCCTATGTTTGTTTTAAGTTATGTTGATATGATGATCTTATGTTATGTTGATATGATGATCATATTTTTGTTTTAAGTTATGTTGATATGATGATCCTATGTTTGATTGAATTTAAGTTATGTTGATGTGATGATCCTATGTTATGTTGATATGATGATCCTATTTTTGTTTTAAGTTATGTTGATATGATGATCCTATGTTTGATTCAATTTAAGTTATGTTGATATGATGATCCTATGTTATGTTGATATGATGATCCTATGTTTTTTAATTTATGTTGATATGATGATCATATGTTTGTTTTAGTTACCATGCTAGTGGGAAAATGGTAAAATGTTTGCAAGATAAAATTGTGCAATGTTCATTTCATGAATGGTCATATGGTCTGCTTCCTGTGGTTGTCAGGCATTCCCATGACAAGACTTTCCTATTCCATTGAGAAGTTGGTGCCAGCCCTGGATGCCGGCTACACCAGTGGCCTCACCCAGCGAGGTCTTCTTCAGCTTCTCTGGATCATCACGAAGTTAAAGCCATCTCTCAAGATTTCGAATCTTCGTGATTTGGTGAGAATCAATCAGTGTTGTTGTTTTAGATTACGATTATTAATACTTTAGTTGTTGTTTGTGTAGTTCATTAGGTTGTCCCTGTTTGGCCATGTTGTGTTGAGTTGTTGTGTCTTTGCAGCCACAGATAATGTCATCCAATGACAATGAAATGTTTATATACATTTATATATTAATAATGTAAAATATACAATGATAGAGATTCTTCAACATCAGTCAAAAGTTATTGTACCCATCTCACCATCAATCGCCCAGGTGTGACCTCGTATGAGGATCTTGGCAACAGGTTCAAGAAGGCCCATGACAGGATCAAGGATTCCTGCGAAGGGTTTCCTGACAACATCGTCCAGGAGCTTCCGTTGGTCTTGGGGGATGCCGAGGTCAATGATGTGGCTGTTGCTCAGGGATGGAAAGATGAGTTCCTGAAGCCTGTTTCTTGCGCAAAGGCTCCTCCGCCCAGTGTTGCTGAGTTTTTGCAGGCAGGCGTCCGGCTGCAGCACCTGTGCCGGCGTTGCCTCACCCCCCTGCGCGCAATTCGTCAATTGCGTCAATTGCCCCAATTGCTGTGACAACAAGCAAAGCTGCTCCGCCAGCTCCAGCCAGCCCAGCTGCTGAGGCAGCTGCTCCGCCAGCTCCAGCCCGCCCAGCTGCTGAGGCAGCTGTGAGAGATGCCACTCCACCAGCTGAGCCTAGCCCAGATGGAGATGCCCAGGGAGCTGAGCCTAGCCCAGCTGTGGACCTGGCTGTCGAGCCTAGCCCAGCTGCTGAGGCAGCAGCTGTGACTGTGCCAGCTGCAGATGGAGATGGCCCACCCATTTGTCTGATTTGCCAGCAGGAGATGACCAATGGCGCGATGAAGACACTTGGGTGCGGCCACACATATCATCTTTCTTGTATGGAGAGCTGGTACACAGCAACATCCAACTTCGAAGAGCGTTGCCCTCTCCGTTGCCAGATCACGCCCCCGGCTGGTGATCGAGCTGTTCGAGGAGCGGATGACTTCGAGGTTGTGGACTTCGTGTGAGTCTGAGTGAGTGACTGGCAGATGATCCGATGGCTGAACTTGGCCCAATCTAGTTGGCAGATGGCTTGGTCAAGCCAGTGAGGAAACTTTAAGTTGCAGCAGAGTTGTTTATGAGTTGTCTATAGTATAATCTCAGTTTTGTTTTTTTGAACCATTGGCTGGCCATCATCGAATTTTATAGTTTGTCTCATTTGGGGGGGATTCTCTCTGCAGTGGAGTCAGCTAAATGCCGGACCACTTTAGCTTTGACGCACTTCATTTGTGTCAATTGCCATCAATTGAGGTGTGTGAGTTGCAATTGTGGTTTGCCAGCAGCAAAGGCGTTGGTCTGAAGCTCCATTGGAAGAGATGATGGGGAAAATGCATTGTTATGCTATTGCTATTGCAAGCTGCTTTCATTGAATCGTTAAAAGCTTGTGCTGGAGCTCCTTTTTTTACTTGTGTTGTTTCTGTAGCTTACTTTTCTGCAGGCTTCGTTGTGGAGTGAGAAGGCTGGAACTTCACTGACTTTCTGAATTCTTTACACTTGTGCAATGATGATGGTGAAGTTGAACAGTTGAACTGTCAAGACTGCCGGAAGTCATTCATTGCTGTTCGCACATTGGTGAGTTGGTATGTGCCTGCCAGATTTGGATCAATTGACTTCAATTGAAAAAAACTATATATAATGAAACCAAACAATCTTCAGGCTTTGAACAAATGATGTTTGAATTGCAGTGCAGCAATGGTGCCAAACCATGGACAATCAGTAAGAGATCACAAACCTAAACCATGGCCAATCTGTAAGACATCATTTGAGTTTCAGGTAGTTCAATTTGAGTCAATTGTGTGAATTGTCTCATGGACTTCGATGATGGCGGCAGTGACAGTCAGGAAGGGCGTGAGGACTTTCAGTCCCTGACTACAGACTTGGAGCCCTTTGCTTGCGATCACCCATTGCTGAAGTTTGGCCAAGTTGGCTACAATGGACCTGCTGGCTTCATGTGGGACTTTGCCTATGTCTATGACAACCTTCATGCTTTGGGCGAAAAGAAGCAGAAGTACAAGATGTTAAAGGAGCTCCAGAAACAATGCTGTGAAGGGCAACACTTGTCCAGGGAAGATTTGCATGTGAAAAAGGAAAGAAGGCTAGCCAATTAGCCCAAAACAAAATTGTCCTTGATGAATCATGGTCGAACTATGTTAGACATGATTGGACATGAAGAGGTTGTTTCAATTATGTAATCAAGAGTAATCATCAGCATTTGTTGTGCAGGCGAGGGTGCTTGGCCGTTGATGCAGTGAGCACATTGCTTGTCTTGCACTTTTTGCTCGACTTGCTCAACAAATCAAGAACTGATGCCAAAGCGCTGACTATGAGAAACTATTTCAAAGATGTTGGCATGCTGGTCACCCAGGAAGCAAGTCGCCACAATGATGTGCTGAAGTTTTCAGTTGGTGACTTTCCTATGCATGTTCTGCCTACAGGGAAGTTGCAAGGCTTTCGTTTGTGGCTCGGAAGACATGTTCACAAACAGGTGGTTCAATTATGGCTTACACTGTGGAAGTGGATGGCCAGGGAAGACAATGGGCCACTTCTGACAGAAGACATTTCCAGCAACGATGATGAGGAGCCTTCCTTGGTGGATTTACTCATGTTTTGTGTCAATTTTATACATTCCTACAAGGCGGCCCATTCGTTTCGACAGCCTCCCCCTTTCTCCACCGATAGCATGAGAAATCTGCAACAATGCGTTCTCAAGTTTGTGGCGTGGGTTGTCAACAATGTGGTGCTTGAGATGATGACCCAGCAGGACGATTCTCAGCCAGTGCCATCCAGACGCGTGAGAAGGCTAGGTGGTAGTCAAAATGCATTACTTTTTGTTTACTGTAAAATAGTTTTGTGCCTGTGTGAATTCTCGAAGGTGTGGAAATTAAAGGTTTTGAACCTTGCCAAACAGGAACTCCGATGCAAATCTGCGGAAGATGAGTCCTCATGAGATCTGGCGTGTCATTGAGCAAAGCAAGGATACTGGGGTGTCATACCAAAAGATTTGTGCTCTGCGAAAAGATGACCCACAAGGAGGAATCAGTGAGCAGCTGACGTGGGTTTGGCAGAGAAAATTGTTGTCAATGTACAGGCAGTCATCAAGGCTAAGTTTCTTGAATGTGAAGAACTTCGCCATTGTCACGGATGCCTCAACTCATAGCAACAAGGACTACCTGATGAGCCTGGCCTATGACCCTGTAAATGGAGTAGGGGCTCACATGTGCTCAGTTCACGTCAGGTCAACAAAAGTGTTACACCCACAGGAGATGGAGCTGACACCAGAAGCAGAGCGCTTGGCAGCGAGACGGGAAATTGAACGGCTTAGCAGCTTGAAGTTCTTGCAAGGCCTTTCGGCCCAGATATGCAAGTTGACTGACCTTCGCTTGGATGATTTTAAATTTCCTGAAGTCTTGCTCAAAATGTTGGAGCTGCAACCAGGCGATAACTTCTTCTTTGACGACAATGTCGCAGTGCTGAATGGAGAGGAGTTTCAATTAAGTCAATTACGTCAATTGTCTGATTTGCCTTGTTTGCATTGCATCATGGACCAAGGCAAAGTTGGCTGCGCAGCTGCTGCCTTTGTCACTTCCCAAGCTGGCCTCCAAATCCACTTCACCTTCGACAAGATTCACCGCCTGTTGAGAGACCTGAAAAACCCAATCAAAGCAGCTGGCTTGGAATCTTGTGTTTTGGCAACAACGTATCTGTTCAGCGTCAACACCAAGCCTTTTGGAAGTGGCCAATGGTTTACGGAAAAAACTCAGATCTTGGAAGCATTCTTTGAATCCAACAGCTTTGATCCTGGGTCATTTGCTTGGATCTCACTTTTTTGCTGAAGTTGGTTGTTGATTTTGTTTGTTTGCGAATGTAGGCTACTGGAACAAATCATATTTGAAATCAAGTTTTGAAGCAGCTCAGGACTGCCAATGGTTTCAGGCATTGAAAGAGAGAATTGCCAATGATTTTGGTATGGAAGGGTGCTCCGACAGGGAGATCTGGGACTCCATTCCCGAGCAATTGGAATCGTGGAGGCTCAAGGGCGGACTTGCCAAGGCAAGCAGATGGTTTTCCTGGAACGAAGGAGCTGCTGTCCACTTGAAAGAATGGCATAGCTCCCTCATGCTCCTCTCGTGGTACTTCCCAACAGATCTTGACACTGATGGTCAGTCTGGTTTGTTAGGCCTCAAAGGCTGTTTGACACAGATGTATTGGGAAGATGCCCACATCATCTTCAGAGTTCAATATGGAATGTGGTCGTGGTACTCGCAGCAGATCCATGATGTCAAAAGCCCAGAGCATGCAATCATTGAATCTTTGGAAATGGTCGAGTCATGGATGAGTCATCAGTCTCTCCAGACCCTTGCTGAATCGTGGAGCGCTCAAACTTGGGCCGATGTTGAGCGGTTTGTGCCTGACCAGGAGGCCTTCATTGCCAGAGTGAATACCTATGCTCTTGGATGCTTGATGAATCGTTGCGCAACGCTTTCCAAGTTCTCAGCTCCACCTGAGACATGGGTTGGGCTTCTAGATCCCCAGCAAGCACAGGTGACAAGAATGCGGCTCTTGAAGGAGTATCGTTGGTTTCAATCCTTGCGGTGCAGCATGGCTCCTTTTGCAGCAGAGCTTGCCAGTGACATTGAGACGGTCTTCGATTTGCCTTGTCGTCATTTGTGTCATTTGTGTCATTTGTGTCATTTTGACTTTGGAGCAGCGCAAGAGCTGGCCAAGCTGCTGATTGGTGGCTTTGCGGATTCAAAAGTGGTTGAGGACATTCACCAAGCATGCAGGGTGGCCACGAACCCAGGCAGCAACAAGAAGCTCTCTGGAGCTACGTTGCAGCTTGTTTGCCAATTCTCTGAGGTTTTGGACAAGAGAGGGATCGTCCATCCAGCTGCCCTAACCCGTGAAGAATTCTTGGACAAGTGGCCTGATGCCAGAGATGATTTCAACTGCCGCCAGGAATTCAAATCATCCAGCCATAGTCTACCAGCTCGCTACTCAGAGATTCTGACGAAGAAGATGTGGCGCACTGTCAGTGAGGATTGGCTTCGAACCTCATACGGGGCATGGCAATGGATGATTCAATACTGCGGGCAAAGGCTTGCTGACCAAGGTGTTCGCCTGGAGGCCAGGGAAGTGACGAAAATGACCAAAATGATGTGTAGCAAATGTTTTTGTGTCAGTTGAATTACCCGTCAGGATGGTCTTCTGAACCGCCTTGCTTTTCAAGGGCAAGTGATTGAAGTCAATTTTGTCTATCTACTCATTTTGGGCAATTTGAAGTGGCAAGCCCTTGCTTGGCCGTTGAAGCTTGTGGACGCTGCTGATGATGATTATCGCATGATGCGATGGGTTTTGGATTCGTCGTCAAGTTGTCAATGGCTGCAATGCTCTCTGAACATGCCAGCTTTTCAAACAAAGCTAGTCTGGAGCAATGAGTTTGGCATCCACTGGCAACAGGTTGGGCCTCCTGAAACATTTGCGCAGAATTGCTTGCGGCGCTCCAATGGCCTGAC